CATTTTTTGGGGACAGATAGGGCTTTATTTTGGTGGTATTTAATCACCACTGGGGGTTTTTATTTTTTATTATAATTAGGAAAAATTACCATTCAATGACATTTTAATTGTAACCAAGTCTTTATATATTAAATACATGTTTATACAAAACCATGTATGTTTGATGGACGTTCTGTATGGTTTGGACACTTTTAAAGCCCCGCTTTTCTTTATCTCTCTTGTATACAATTCTAATTGGGGGTGTGGTGCCCATCCCTAATGGTTCAATTCAATTTTTATGCTTTAAACTATTTTATGTAGTGAGTGCTGCTCTGTCTGCCCATCACTTTCAACAACCTCCTGGATTCCCAGTGTGCTTTGCATCTCTTTCTCTCTGCTGCTGGGTGTGATGCAATCTCAATTTCTCCAGACTACATAGTCCATCATGATTGCTTCCAGCAAGTAATGATAATACGGTAATCAGACGCTGAGTTGTAGTTCAGAAGGCAGGCTCTGTGTAAGTGGTGACACAAGGTAGTTCATATTCAAAGGGCTGAGTGAAACGGTGTCACTGCAATTAGGAAGAACTTCCTATGAGCATCTTCAGTAAGTAAGTGTACTAATTTCTAGATTGATATGCTTATTAGGAGTGTAGGCTATAAGGTATGGAAATTTAATGTAGGAATACAGATCTCCTTTTTAGTTTTTGCCCATAGATACCCCTTAGTGAATGCAGAGCTGCATGAATTTGTTTTATTTCTAAGCATGGGCTGCAGGAAGTGGTGGTCTATGTCCCAAACAGGTTGGGGGTTTGCTCTATACACTGGGAATCTTCTATAACTGATAAGTGGTGACAGACACAGTGCCATAGATTTATACCTGGTTCTTATTCTTGTGTTGGAGCTCATAAATGACTCCTCTAAATAATGCCAGGTATGGCTTTGCTTGTATTCGTATTAAAGAAAACATCCAGTGGCTGGAAAGCTGCTGTTGCTGGGCCCAGTGTTCAGTACATAAACACAAGCGTATATGCAGCTAATTATAACTTTGTTTTACTTCGTGCAGCACAGCTTCAAACGTTCTAACAATAAGGAAGAGAACTCCTTCCACCCACTAATTTTACATTTCTGTTTGATCTTCCTATGACTCATTTTCCAGCTCACTAAAATATTATTGTAGCCGGTATACCACGCATTTTAGGCACACTTTAAAATTTAGCTGGAAATCCAGGGGACAACGCCTGTCTGCTGAGGGCTTTTCAGCTTCACAAGGGGGGTGTGGCCCGCACCCGGGTGACACCATTGGAGGGGTGACACCAAAATGACTGCATTGCAGTACTCAGTCATTTTGGTGTCACCCCCCTCGGAAAAGTCGGGCGCTCGGTCATGGACCGAACGCCCGACAGTATCAGGAGAAAGGAGGGGACCCGGCTGGAATACCTTATCCCGCCGGGTGACTGTCCCCTCCTCTCTCTGCCCGCATCCACCACCAAGATGGCTGCCGGCAGGTATCAGAATACTGCCGGGCATGCGCGATGACGTCATCGCGGGGGGTGACACTCGGTTACTGCTCCGGGTGTCACCCAGCCTCGGGACGCCCCTGGGATCCACTCCAGTTCTCGTAAGTAAGGGAGACTGGGTGGAACTTAAAATATTTTTGGAGTGTGTACCCTAATTCTGTGCATTCCATTGCAGTGCGACTTGGGTCGTGACCTTATGAACAAGGGCAAATGTGGGTCCTGAGGATACACAGGTTGAGAACCACTGGATTAGATGATCTACAACCTAATCTGCACATGTAAGGGGCTTCCACTGGCTTTCATGATCAGTTATTTTCTACTTGTATATCATCTGGGTAGAATGTACAATTCCCAGCAATATCCGTACATGCGTGTGGTTTTTCAATAAATGTTACTGTTTTTTCCCTATATAGTATGGGTTGTTGGCACTTGCCTCATCAGGTTTGCCTGTTTTTGGTCATCACTGTAGATAACCGAATCCTCTATAGATTGTGTCACTAGCTGCTGAGAAGTGCAAGGAGGCCTTGTTTACACAAATAAAGGCAGCATAAGGCCTCATTCACTTTGAAAGGAGTTTACTGGTTCATGACACTTTTTGGAGACAATTGCATTCAGTTAAACTGGGCTTGGCCCACAGTGAGAGCATTGGACATGCTGATGGACCTATGTTATTGTGGGAGGAGGCAGTGAACTTCTCGGTCGGATGGATAGTGTAACATAGCAAGGCAAGGGGTCTGTTTAAGGCTGGAGTTTTGTATATTTGGTTGTTTGGAGCTACGTTGAATGACATAGGTTGCAAGAGGTCCCGTGGAGACAACATGCTGTGTTGAGAAGGTTTGTGTTGAACAAAGGATCTGAGGTAGGCATATAGGTATAATGCAATAATGGATGGTGCTGAGATAGGTACAGCTTGGTACTTGCTGGCTTCTGGAAACCTGTCTACACATTATTTGCTTCTATGTCCAGAAGCAAATAATGCAGCACACCATAATGCATGAGCGTGAGTTGTGGTGCATTGCAGTAAAATTCAGTTTCTGCTAAGTTTTAATGTGTTGAGGTGCATTGCAGCCCATTGATCTTGAATCAGCTGCCTAATGTAGCTGGCTGCAACGTGCCTCAGTACATGAAAATGCGTGTGATGCACTGCGGTATAGTGTGAATGGGCCCTAAATGTTAACTTCTACCCCAGTGTGCCCCTTTCTCCTCTGCCGCTATCCTTGGATTTGCACTCCCTTCCACTGTGGCCTTATCTCTCTTGGCTCTTTCCTCCTGACTGTCTACATTTTGCTCATAGTACCATTTTCGCCTGAAATATTTCAGTGCATCACTAGTCTACTCTCCCTTCTCGTTTGCCCGATCCCCTTGTTGGAAGCTATTTTTCCCAAAGTCATTTTTTTTTTACCACGTTCATCTTTTAGTATACTTACTCTTCCTATTACCTGATTGATCCCTCAGCACTCCTATTTGTACTATCATGGTTTCCTATACACCTTATGCATGAAAGTTCTTGAAATTCAGACCTATACTATAGGTACATAAAGGATCAAGCTCTTTTCACAGTATAGTATATACTGGAATATTAATAATGAAATTGTTCTCGTCGCTTCATCTCACTACTACTAGCGTGGAGCGATACAAACAGTTGTACTCTTCAGGGAGGCAGAGTTGCACGAGGCTCCAGTGCTGCTCACAGGCACCTAGAATCTCTTCCTATATCTGGCTGCAAAGGATAATGGGTTGGAGTTAAATCCTAAAAATGCATTCAACTACCTTTTTAACTATTAACACAAATGTATCTTTATATGTGTATCGCACGGCTGTAGACCCTCAAATCACTTCTGAATTAGTGCTGACACTGTCCTTTCTTCTGAAGCCTACTATTTTTGTGTCCAACCCCCCATTGACCCTGTTTGTGTTGTAAAGTAGTCACCGTTCCAAGCTCGCTCCCGTGATGAACTACAATCTCACATTTAGTTTAATCATTTGTATATTTGTAAGCGAGCTTGGAGCTCAAAAGGAGTTACTTAAAGACTTTTTGAAAGTTAGAAATGTTCTATTTAAAGCAGAAGTGAGGTTGGGAAACAAAAATTACTAGGGGGTGGGGTTTTTTGGTAGAAGAAACTTTTGTATGCCTCTGCTGCCCAAAAAAACACCTTCCTTGTGTGTACATGATCTAGTGTGTGTGAGCCAGGTGCCCTGATAATGCAATTCTATCACACATGCATAGGAGTTGCATTGTAAGTGGCCACTGAATGACAGAAGGAGGACACAGGTGTGGAAGAAGAATAGACGACTGCAGCGATGGAGTGTCTGTCATAGCTCAAGGAGGGCAAACTCTGAGTTAAGTATGCAAAAAGTTGCATATTGTGGTATGTATTCCCACAGCCTATGCCCCCATCTCATTTCTGCTTTAAATGGGGCTGCTTCTAGAGGATGGATTTGCCGGTTAGACTATACCCATTTTTCCACCTGTAAATTTTCAGTGATAAAAGCAGCATACGCACAATATATTTATGTAATTGCTTGTTATTTTTTAATTCCTTATAGTAGTAAGGCTGATGTCACACAGGTGACCTTAACACTGGTGACTAATCACCAGCATCAGGATCTCTTAAAAGACTGCCTGCCAGTCTATGGAAATGCTCCCTCGCTAGCTGGGTCAACGAGATGTCGCTACCATGCCTAGTGAGTGAGATTTTGTAGCATTTGGGGCAGTGAGGGAACAGTTCCACAGAGGCAAGTTGAAGACTGTCCCATGTGACTATGCTGCTGGCAAGGTGTTTGATAGCAGCAGAGTTGCCCTTGTGACATCTTTCAACTGGTTCTGCCATTCATCCAGGTACCTTCCTCAGGTCTAAGTTTTAGGAACGACATCATTTATAGCCACATGGATAATTCCATGAAATGTGTCAAAGTAGATGACGACTGTCCAAAAACCAGATGGAAAGTGTGAAAGCTTGTGAAACCACCCTGTTCTGCTCTGATTGTATATAATTCAAAGAATGCAAAAAAGAAGCTACTTAGAAGAGTTGTGAAGTGTCTTCAATGTGACAGAAAAAGTCTGATTAAATGTGGCAGACTACGATTAGCCATACCATGACTTGGATAAATCAGAATAAAAAGTACGTCTGTCCCATTACCCTTCTCCTTGTGCAGAAAATATTCATGTTTGTTGAAATTCTGTCCTTTTTTTTGTTTTGTTTTTTTTGTTTTTACATTTTCCTACTCGCCTGCCAATTTTCAGTTCTGTTGGATCTATCAGATTGACTGTTACCTGTCATATGTAAGAGCTCTCTGCTAGCGCTGGAGGCTGCCGTTGCCTTAATTTAACAAGCAGTGCTAGTTTGAGGCAGTAAGCCATTGATCTCCTTCTTGTGCTGATTGGGAGTCATGTTTTAGAAGTAATAGAAAACATATTTTCTATTGCATGAGGATTAGGATAACCTAGAACATGAAGCAGTAATGTATATTTTGCTAATGTGTTTTTACTTTTTTCATGCAGATATGAAAAGGTGCCAGTAATCTTGGTTGGCAACAAAGTTGACCTAGAAAGTGAACGTGAAGTGTCATCTAGCGAGGGGCGCGCCTTGGCAGAAGACTGGGGATGCCCATTCATGGAAACCTCAGCAAAGAGTAAAACAATGGTGGATGAGCTTTTTGCAGAGATTGTTCGGCAAATGAACTATGCAGCCCAGCCTGATAAAGATGACCCTTGCTGTTCTGCGTGCAATATACAATAGCGCTTTTATGTAACTTAGGTAGACATGACTATATTTTAGCACCAATGGTTTAAAAAAGGTTGTTTTTTTTTCTGTGATTTTCCCAAAGAGAAGCATTGAGTGAAACCCTCGCACAAGTTGTGAAAATTTGTCGAAAATAATATTTTAAGAGTCACAATTTGCTACATTTCAAATGTAACTTGTGGCATTGTCTTTGTGGCCGTCACCTTTTTGCCACATTACAGACTAGAGTAAAATGTGGTGCCTTTCATGTAATAAAAAGATACCACAACCTCACTAACTAGACTGAGATTTCACCAGTGTTTTCATAGTATTCTTTACTTCCTGAACTGGACAGCGTTGGGCAGACAACTGGACAAGTTGATGCCTGCTCTTCAAACAAAAAAAAACACCAACCACTCAAATACCCCACATAACAAGAAATCTACATGAACTCGGGGAGGCAGCTGGATATGTATGAAGACATGGAAATGCACGCAGTCTTGTTTTGGAAAATGAAGCCATGTTTCATCTAGATTCGGGAGCAAGCTTTCCATTTCTGCATGCTTCCTAACAATCATTGGACCTCAATAAACTCTTAAAAAATGTTATTGGCTTATTTTACTTTAGCATCATAATTAGACTAAAACAAATGTCAGTCTATTTTTCTTTTTTTTTTACTAATGCTGATAGGCTATTGTGAAGTGAATGTTGCTGTGACAAGGTGCTGATGTCCTGGCATTTAATTTGAATTGAACGAGAATATTTATTTGCATGGGCAGCTGTGCACAAATGTGTCCAATAAAAGTAAAATGTTAAAGGATTTCCAATTTGGTATCGGGAAAACCCAACTTTCTATAGCTTTGTGGAACATTAAGACCCATATTCTGAATATTTGATAGAAATAGTGTCATTTCTTTTGTGGGCGTGAGAAGCAGTGTGAATGTACAGTAGCTGTATGCTGGTTTCCAGTTCTTGTATTTGAGCTGAGGTTCTATGTATTTGCTCCACAGCGTTAAATATATACACTGAATTATCCCAGAATAAAAAAAAGTGCTTTTTTTTATGTGACTGAATTACATCTCCATTTTGTTTTTGAACAGTGTGGTAGCGCTGAACAAATGTACACTGTTGTCTGTACTTTGTACTTTTTGTTTCATTTAAAGACATTACAGTCATATCTTGTATTTTGCACATGTGATGGAATCTCCCTTTTTAACATTGAAGTCATTTTAAAGCACTGATTTGTGGTTTGTACGAACTCCACTTTTCTCGAAGATGTTTTACAAGTAAACAAGAAAAGGTTTACTAAAAACACAATATTTGTTATCATAAAGTGCATTTTTTTGTAATCCATAATTCAGTATATGGAATGCAGGATGGGCATGAATCTCGAAAACAAAGGTCTACATTTTTTTATGCTGCAGCTAAATCTGTTTTTTTTTTTTTTTTTTTTTTCTTTCTTTCTTTCTTCAGCCCCTCACACTGTCTTTACCAAAAAGAAAAAAAATCTGGCTCTGATAACTTCCAGTCTTAAGGTGCCCATACACCTGCCGATTATCACTTCTACTGTAAGGTCGCACGACTTTCGTCTTCTGAGCATGCTGGAAAACCTGCCGAAAATCGTACGATTTTTCGGCGGCTTGGTGGCATGCTCGGTAGACGAATGCCGCACGGGCAGGTGTGCGCAAGCTATAATCGAAAGCCCTCACCGGGGAGGGCTTGCGATGATCGCAAGTACGATCTGCCTGTCCAAGATGGGCAGATCGTACGAAATTTTTATCACCTTAAAACCATCGCACAACGAAAGTCGTGCGATGGTTATAAGGTGTATGGGCAGCTTAAGGGTGACAAAGTTACCTTTCTATGCCCTGCATACAGCAGCAGCACTGTCACCCTGAATATAGGTTCCCAGGATGGACCACAAGAGGATGCATTGGTACAACAAGTGCCAACACATCAAGTGTTATCCTCTGCAGAGATCCTGAAACGCATCCCTCCGGACCGCCCACTACACATATATAAGTGATTGCGGCTCCTGGAGAAATGATCATTGGATGCATGAATATACAATGTCATGCATTAGCGTACACTCTTACTGGAAGTTGTGTTAATGAGCAGCAGTGCCATTTATGGCACTAAAAAGACAAATGATTCAAAAGTGAGTAAAAAATGTTTTTGATTATTCTAATGCAGTCATGCTTCTTTGGTTAAAAGTCACATCATTACTGCTGGATGGTTTAGTTGTACTTTTATCTTCTGCTTGAAATGATTCCAAACGCTGCAATTAGATTCATATTGGTCCAAAGACAAGATCAGTGCCGAAAAAATAATCCATTTGGTATGGCTGCATGATTATTGGGACATTTGGCAACCACAGTCTGATGTTGACCACTGTTGGCCTGCATTCAATTTCCAACTGTGCTAGTAGGTAATATACTATGACCACATGGCCCAAGTATCAGAAGGGCAGAAAGATTGACCACCCTCTTGTGCAAGCTTGGGCAGTGATCCTGGTATTTGGGCCAAGCTGCAGGATTGTAAGTAGTCCTATTTTATTTGGAATTTTTGTAAGTGAAGAAATGACGGTGATGTCGGTGTTCATAAAGTCATTTGAGGAGCAGCTGTTACTGGTTAATGCAGTACATTGTTGACAGCTGGCAATAAACTATATTTTGCTTGTTTGCATTTAAATAATACCCTTGCCTTTTTGTTTTGATTGCCAACTCCAGAAAGCTGTAAAATAAATCTTGAAAAGCCATGGTAGCATGTTCTTAGATGTGTTTGTATCATTCTCTCAAATATCAAAGGGTTTGTCTACTCTTGATAGCATACAAAGCAGAAGACATCGGGCCACTATGGACAAAGCTCAGACTTTTTGGTTCTTTTCCTATACAATTCTATCTGTTCAATCCAGGCATGTTGAAGTAAAATGGAATGGAACGGTGAACCGTTTAGGAGAATACCAGAACTGGACATGTTAGATTAGTTATGCAAATGTTTCCACTAACAGAATTGGCACGTTTTGCAAAATTCTGATTTGTAACATATATTTAAAAAACGGTTTTAGTTAGTTTTTGTTAGTTCAGCTTGAAAATGTTTTACCCTGCTACCACTAAAAAGGTTTGCTCAACTTTAGGTTATCCAAAGGATGATCGTATTAAGGAGTTACGTTACAGTTTGATGTCTTATTTGATTCAAAGGGTATACTTCCAAGAAAATGGCTCAATGAACCGTATAGGCTGCCTAAAAGTCTGATTCTGTTCAGCCATTTTTTTTGTGATCCAGATACTTCTAGATGCAATGACTGGACCTTTTGCTGTTCTTGCCTATAGTTATCTAGTTTAGCTTGGTTGCCACCACACAGCGCCCCCCCACACACACACACACCTATCCCGATTTGTGACTGGAAAGTTAAAGAGCATTACCTCATTGGTAAGGTCATTACCATGCTTGTTCCTACTGTTAGAATGACAGCACTATACAATGCTGTAAAACTTTACTGGTAATATATTGCTGCCTCTCCCAATAGGCAGGGGTTTATTTATAACCAATACAAGACATAGTCAGGTACCTATACTAGTGTGTACTTTAAAGTTATTTAAACCTCATGGGAAAAAAAATCATGCAGCAACATACCCAATAAAGATTTTTTTGCCTGCTGTCACCTTTTTTTTTTTTCTTTTTGACCAGCCTGTCATTCCAGAAATATGAGCCAATCATAGCTTCACTTAGCTGAAGGTATTCTTCAGTTTGGGTTCTTGAATGGCTCCACTGGCTTCCCAGGTCTCCCTGGAGCCACCCTAACACCCACTCTCCAGGCCAGGAGGTATGCTGACATTCAGAGGCTGCACAGAAGACCTGTATACCGTCGGCCCTGCTACAAGGGTGATGATGAACGGCACCTCCATTTGAATATGAATGAGGCCACATTCGTAATAGCAGGTGTGCATAGTACGTGCTTCACTACCAGAAGTATAGGGAAGCATCGCAGAGAAGGATATTGAAGAGAACTTCAGCACAGCAAAAGTAAGACTGGCTTAAAAGAAGAGAAAATTCAACAACTTTGCCTTCAAAGCTAGCTGCATAGAGCTTAACACAAAGAGCAGTTGTACTCTGAGGGTGTGTTACTACTTTAAAGTACAGGTGTAATTTTTATTCCCCCCCCCCCCCCCCCACTTCCTTGCATTTTTAAATCGCACTGCAATTACATGCATTTGTCCCAGCAGCTTTTTTAAAATAGCACCAGGTTTTGGTAGACGCAGCAGGTCCCAGCAGGTGTTTGTGCTGGAACCACTAGATTTCAGTGATAGCCGAGGTCCACTGCTAATCTTAGGAGTTGATCAGCCCCTGGACTTGCTATATTGCTATGGATAACTTAATAAACACATTCTGTAATACAGACCAAACAGTCAGGGAAGCATGCACAATGTCATTCAGAATTTTTGCAGCCTCAAACCCGTGGAATGGTACATTATTGTTCAGTCTGAACTACACAAACCTTACCTAATCACATCTTAATTTTACACTAACACTTTATTGTTAGTGCAGATTATGTATCCTGCATGCTTTGTGATGTAACTAAATATAAGAGGGAAAAAAGCTCTCCTAAATTAAAAGTAGGGCTGGTAATGATTAAAAATGTTCGTGTTGGATTAATCGAAATTCTTTTTTATCGATTAATTATAACACACATACAGATCCAACTACATTGGCCTATACCCATACAGCACAGCAATGAAGTAATAAAATGAACTAGGATCGCACTAATCCAGCACGTTATTAATCTCACGTGCCCCACTCAACATGGCCGCCGCTTGAGTGGGGCAACTCAGAATAATAACGTGCTGGATTACAATTGTATTTACATAGTATAGTAAAACAGCAAAGCCCTAAGGGTGATTTAAACATAAGTATTAGCTTAATATTTGAAGTAGCAGCACCTGTCCATTCCATTTCATGTAAGGACCTGATTGCAACATAATATCAGTAAATTTCAATGGGCACATTTCTGGGGGGGGGGGGGGATTAATGGAGAGCCACATAGTGCATATATATATAAGTTTAAGATGAGGCAGAAGCTTGGTGCTTCTTGGGCAAACTCACCGGCCCAAGGTGCTCCGTCGGTTAACAAAGGGATGGGGGGAGGAGTCTGGTGACGTCACAGACATCGACGTCACCTGACTCCTCCTCCCTTCGTTTGCCGACGGAGCCACTTGGGGAAGGGGGTAGGAGTCCGGTAACGTCGATGTCCATGACGTCACCGGATCTCCGACGGGACTCCCGGAAGCCGGCAGGGAGGTGAATCTTTTCGATCAAGTGAATTTTAATAGATCAAAAAGTTTAACGATTAATCGAGGAATTCATTGTTAATTTCCCCAGCCCTAATTAAGAGGTGAACAATGAACTTTCCCTGTTATGCTACCTTACAAAAAAGAACTGCACTGTGATAATCGTGTAGTTTGTAGGCTGTGTTAATTAAAGTGGAAGTAAATTGTTGTGGTGGCTGGATTTTTGCCATAATGTGTAAGTATACTCAGCATACTTGCACATTATGGCACATGTACCATACAAGTGTGCCCTTCTCCTGTGCTGTTGGATCGATCTTAGATACCCCTCCCCTGCAGCAACTACTGGGTTCCGTGTGATTCCTTTTAGGCCATTGGGTGGCCACTGATGATTTAACTGCTTCACATGTGCACTGGAGTTACATCCTCCCTAGCACCCGGCCTATTCATGGCATCTTAGATAGACATGTGCACTGCCAAAAAATTTGTTTAGTTTCGTTTCGTTTTAAATTCG